GAGGGCCCTGGGGAGCCTGGCGGGGCTGCAGCGGGAGGGGGGACAGGCTTCGGCTGCAGCGTCACCGCTCAGCAGAAGGGATGAGGGTGTTTGGTGTTCGCCTGCATGGGCTCAGAAGCCAGTTTTGATCCTCGTTCACACCTGGGAATACTTCCCCGGGGGATCCAGCGTTGGGTGTCGGAAACCAAACCCTGCAGTGGGTAGAGGTGGGTACGGTCTGGGGTCTCGGGGTGGGGTGGGGGCTGTGGGGAACATGCCTTGATTAGATGGCAGGCGTAAACCAGTGTCTTCGGCCTGGGCCGGGCAGGCTGGAGGCCGCAGCAGTATTGGGGCTGCCCGGGCTGCAGGAGTGGGTGTGCGGGTCAGCGGGGCAGAGCTTGGGGGGGGGGCCTTTGCCCCTGCGGTACCGGGGTCCCTGGTATGGCCAGCTGCGGTGTCACCAGCCACGGTGCTGGAATCTTCAAGCCCCACTTGCCTGGGGGCCCAGAGAGCCCTGGGCAGCAGGAGGGAGTCACCTGCCAGCTTTCCACCAGGATCAAGGGGGCTGTGATGGAGCTTTCCGGAGTGCACAGAGGAGAGCCCCTGTCTGACGGCGTGTAAACAGAGTGGCTCAGGGGGCCGTGATGGTCTGCGCTGCCCTGGGTGTCAGAGCCCCCTGGCCACAGCCGCCTTGTTCCCCACCGAGGGGCGGTCAGGGCGCAGTGGGTCCTCCAGCCCGCCTGCTCTCAGGTGGGCCTTCAGCTGGGGTTCTACTTCCCTCTTCAACGTGGGGTTTGAGGGTGGACGGCTAATTACCACCCTGGCCCACAGCTTCGCCTATGATGAACCAAGGCCAGGAACTGTTACTCATTTCTTGCGACCTTGGGGACGGGAGGCGGGGCCTGCGGTGCAGGGGCCTGGTGGCGGTGGCGATCACTGCCTCCGAGTGTGTGGAAGGGGCGCTGCACCCCGGGGGCCCCCACAGGGGGCTCCCGCATCCGGGGACAGAGGACTCCCTGGAGTTGGGGCACTTGGAGGTCAGGATTCTGCTGGGACTTGCCAAACAAGATCTTTGCCCGGAGCCTCCAACTGGCCATCCCTCAAGACGAGTGGAGAGATTCAGGTCAGACTAAAGATAGAACTTCCCGCTGCCAGGGTGTGAGCGTTTGATGGGCAGTGGTGCCAGCGGTCCCGTGGCTGCCGAGACCCTTGCCTGGCTTCGCTGGCACGCGTCCCGACAGCAAGGGTGCACTGACGCTTCTGGGGGAGGGTCACGTGCCGCCCCGGTCCCTGGAGGCCAGCCAGCCGCCTGCTCCCCGCACATCCCTGCCGCGAGAGAGCAGGAGACTGTTGCCGAGTGATTTCTCCCTCCGATGCTGCTGTGCATCATGTTTTTTAATTTAAAAAGATGCCCAGCGGAAGGCTAACAGACCGTTAAGTGTTTGGGCTGCTAATTAACTCTGCAGCCCAGAGCTGCTGGCAGGCAGAGGGAGTGGGTGTCCTCCCCGGGGGCAGGATGGGGGGGGGGGCTACGCGTAGCCCTGGGCTCTGGCTCCAGGGCCTCTCGGGCGTCCCAGGGGCACCGGCGCTTTCAGCAGGCCACGTGGGGGATGGCAAAGGCGTGTTCGTGGGCCTCAGCTGGGCACTGTCCTGGGACAGGCCCCTCCTTCCCAGGCCCCCGGGTCCCTGTCTGATGGGTCAATGGGCGTCAGGGCTCAATGGACAGTGGGCATCGGGCCTTGGGGGACCCTGCAGGAAGAGAGTGGTCACCTCTGTCTGCTCCTCGCAGCCTCTGGGGGGACGGGGAGGCCACCTGTGGTCACTGCCGGTGTCAGTCACCCAGTGCCCTTCCCAGGTTCCATACTTCGCCCTCTTGTCCCCCCACACCCTTGTGGGTGGCATGTGGTGATGGCTCCCCCTCCCCAGAGAGAACAAGGCCAGGTGCTAGGAGCCCACTGAGCCTGCTGCCCCGGGGCCCTTCCCAGCCACCTCGGTGGACAGGGAGACTGGGGGGCGGGCAGGTCTGGATGGGACCGCCCTCCCTGGCCCCTGGGCTTGCTGAAGGGAAAACCACCAGGGGCGGGCGTCCTGCTGGACTGCCTGCACTGCCCCGAACTGTGTGTCCCCTGCGCTGTCCACCGAGGACAGGCACGCCTGCACCGGGCTGCAGGCCATCAGGGCTGGCAGGGGGGTCACACAGCCAGAGCAGGGCACAGCCGGCCCAGGTCCTGGCCTGGGGGTCTGGGCCTGAGGCGGCTCCGGCAGGCGGTCAGCTCTGCTGGCCCGGGGCTGCATCCTGTGTGCAGGGCTGCCGCACAGAGCCAGGCGGGTGCGAGGGGTCAACACAACCTGGTGGGGAAGGCTTGGAACGGTGAAAAGGTATCACTCTAGAACTTTCTCCCCGCTCCTGCCCTCCTTGGCCCGAGGTTCCCTCTGCGGGTGGAGACGCCCTGCCCCCACCCGGCCTCTGCCGTGTCCGGCTCGGTGTCTGGGCTCGGTGATGGAGGCGGCAAACGGTGCTTTCAGATGGATGCACTCCTGCCCCAGCACGTGGGGACAATTATGCAAATCTGGACATAAGCAGTTTAAAAGCCTGGAACCACCGTATTTCTTCCTTCCATTAGCAGTGACACAGGCTTCAGGTGGCTGTGAGAAGACAGACCGGGGCCAGCCCTGAGCCTGCCGTGCCCTTGCCCCCTGGACAGGCTTCCCTGCGGGGGTGGGGGGAGTGTGGGGGCGAGAGCCAGTGTGGTCGGCAGCGGATGCAGAGGCTCTCTCTGGCCAGGGACAGCCCTCGGGGGAAACCGAGGCCTGGCAGCAGGGCTCGGGGCGGGGCTCTGGCTCCCTCCTTCCCCCCAGACTCCCCGCAGGCCTGGAGCTCCCCAGGGGCCTGCTGTGCCCGCAGCCTAGTTGTGGTGGGAGGCAGCTGGCTGTGCCCTGTGCAGACGGTGAGACCAGGCGTGGGGGCGGCGGGCCCGTGTTGTGAACTGAGGACAATACACAGGTGCTCGGGGAACAGCTGCTTCACCCATGACTCACTGCACACGGGACAGGCCTGTGTCCCTACACACACGTGAGGGGTGGGCAGGGTGGGGCCTGGTGAGTCATTTGAGACTGGGAAGGGCCGTCTTGAGGATGGTCCCTGGTTGGATCGGAGCCATTCTGGGTGGTCTGGCAAGTTCCACAGATGGCTGTTTCCCGAGGCCTTGCCTCAGGGGCTCCTGTTACCACCCTCACCAGCAGCCTGTGGGGCCTCTGGGATGACCCTGGGCAAGGCCTTCTCTTGTCTGGGCCTCAGTTTCCCCTTTTGAGTGAGATGTGCAATGAGGGCACTGGGGGCTCCCGCAGGCAGAGATGGTGGGGGCTGGAGAAAGGGCAGAGGGGACTCTTCGTGGGGTTGGGCTGCTTGGCCATACTGGTGGGGGGCAGCCCCCAGGGTCATGTCCACACCCACCTGAGGCCAGGTGGGGGGGGGTGAGGATACCCCATCCGTCTGGGAGGCCACTTGGCTCCCTCCTGGCCCAGGTGCCAGGGCAGGTGCTGGGCACCAAGGTGAGAGGAAACCATGGTGGCCCAGAGGGTGAGGGGACACCCCAGTTCCAGGGCCTGGGCCACACCCCCGCCACGTCCATCACGGAAGCCGGCTAGTAGAGGGGCCTGGCTGGGTGGTGGGTGCACAGGGAGGAGAGACTGTCCCCAGAACCTCTTGCCACTCACCAGGTGCCGAGGTAGAGCGCACACTCCCAGACTGTCACGTGGGGGGCAGGACCGTGGTGGCACAGGGGCCTCTGGGCTGCTGCCCAGCCACAGGCGCTGGGACGGGGCTGTGTCACCCCAGTGCACACCAACCTGTGTGTGTGCAGGCACAGCCCAGCACACGTGTGCGGCAGCCCGTGTGTGGGCGCAGCCCTGCCCAGCACTGGCTCCGTGGCCGCCTTGCACCCTGGGGCACAGGAGTGAGGCAGGGAGGGGCCGGGGAGCCTGGGCAGCCATTGCTGCCTGTGATAAGCGTTCTTCGGGCCCTTGTAATCCTCCTTAACCTGACTTTGGGTTATTTTGAGCGAGAGATTAAAGGTGATTATGACTGGTATTGCTGAGGCGCCACACTTCCTGGGCAGCAGAGTCTCCCCCAGCCCCTCCCCACCCCCCGGCCCCCCGCTCTCGAGGCCAGGGCGGGAGCCTGGCTCCAATCAGCCCGCCGATGCCCGACTCTGCCCTCCTTGCCCAGGGATATAAATTCCAGGTTGCCATGGGGCTGGGTAGGCGCCAGCTGGGGAGGGAGGAGGGCACCGTCAGCTCCAGGGTGCCCCCGCCCCACCGATCCCTCCCTGGTCTTTAAATCAGAGCCTAGCTCTCCCCTGGGGGCCCGATCACACCGTTCCTCCTGAAGTTTCCGGGGGCGGCGGAGTCCATCTCACTTCAGACTCTGCTCCTGACTCCAGCCGCTTCCCGCAGACTGGCTACAAGAGTCGATATCAGTGAAATGCACTCGCCTGGCCACCAGCCAGCCCACACACGGCCACGCGGCCCCTATAAATCCCCGGATTAACAAGCCGCACACACGCCCTGGTCTGCTCCTTCCACGGGAGGAGCTTGCGATGGGCTGCGTGAGTCCTGGGACGGGGTCCCCGCAGGTGCAGAGGCCGCGTGTCCCCGATGATCGCCCTGGCTGCTGCCTGGGGGCCAGAGTGGCGCACAGTGGGACGGCACTGCAGGAGGCCTCAGATGCAGGGCTGCTGTCCCGGGGCCTGACCTGTGTCTCTCCGGAGGTGGGTCTGGGGCTCGGGAGGGTCTCTGGCAGCTCTGAGTGAGCTCCCCGCTGCAGACAGCAGGGAGAGCCCTGGCCAGGTCCCTGGGGGACGGGGACCTCTGTCTTCAGGGAGCAGCCTGTCACTCCTCAGCTGTGTGACTTCAGGTGTTACTGGGCGGCGCAGCGGAGCTGGGTGCAGGGCCACAGGTGACCCCTGGGCCTGGGGATGCCAGCTGCCTCCTGACTGTCCCTCTCCGTTGTCTTCCTGCAGGGCCAGCTGAGCTGGGGGCTTGGGGAGCGGCCGTCCAGACGCCCAGGCTGATGGAGACGGAGTCTGTGGCGGCGGCGGCGGCGTGCAGCAGGCGGACAACGAGAGGTGGCCGGCCGTGACTGGGGCGCTGGCTCCCAGCCCTGGCGGTGTGACCATGCGGCCTGGGACAGGACGCCGCTGAGAGTGTGGGCCCCCTCCCTGCTTTCCCCCTGGGGGCTGCTGCCCTGCCCCCTACCCGGTCCCCCTGGGCAGGCACAGCGGGGTCTCCCGCCAGGGCGGTCCCCATGGCCCCGTGCCGCTGGGGCGCGCTGTGGCTGTGTGTGGCGGCGGCCACCCTGTTGCACGCGGGCGGCCTGGCCCGCGGCGACTGCTGGCTGATTGAGGGCGACAAGGGCTTCGTCTGGCTGGCCATCTGCAGCCAGAACCAGCCGCCCTACGAGGCCATCCCCCAGCACATCAACAGCACCATCGTGGACCTGCGGCTGAACGAGAACCGCATCCACAGCGTGCAGTACGCCGCGCTCAGCCGCTTCGGCAACCTGACGTACCTCAACCTCACCAAGAACGAGATCGCCTACATCGAAGACGGCGCCTTCTCGGGCCAGTTCAACCTGCAGGTGCTGCAGCTGGGCTACAACCGTCTGCGCAACCTCACGGAGGGCGCGCTGCGCGGGCTGGGCAAGCTGGAGTACCTGTACCTGCAGGCCAACCTCATCGAGGTGGTCACGCCTGGCGCCTTCTGGGAGTGCCCCAACATCGTCAACATCGACCTGTCCATGAACCGCATCCAGCGCCTGCACAGCGCCACCTTCGCTGGCCTGGCGCGGCTGTCCGCCTGCGAGCTCTACAGCAACCCCTTCTACTGCTCCTGCGAGCTGCTGGGCTTCCTGCGCTGGCTGGCGGTCTTCACCAACACCACGCAGGCCTACGACCGCATGCAGTGCGAGGCGCCGCCGCCCTACGCCGGCTACTTCCTGCTGGGCCGGGGCCGGCACGGCCAGCGCAGCATCCTGGGCACACTGCAGGCCGTGTGCACACATGGCGACTACGTGGCCGAGCCCCGCCCGCCACCCGAGCGCCCGCCGTCCCTGCCGCCACCCGAGCCCAGCGAGACCCCCTGCCCTGACGAGGACTGCTTCTCAGGCGACGGCACCACCCCGCTGGTGGCCCTGCCCACGCTGGCCACCCAGGCCGAGGTGCGTCCCCTCATCAAGGTCAAGCAGCTGACGCAGAACTCGGCCACCCTCACGGTCCGGCTGCCCAGCCCATTCAACCGCATGTACACGCTGGAGCACTTCAACAACAGCCGGCCCTCCACCGTCTCCCGTCTGACCAAGCCGCAGGAGGAGATCCGCCTGACCAACCTGCACACGCTCACCAACTACACCTACTGCGTGGTGTCCGCCAGCTCGGGGCTGCTGCACAACCACACCTGCCTGACGCTCTCCCTGCCCAAGCCGCCCAGCCCGCCGGGGCCCGCGCCCAGCCCCTCCACCGCCACCCACTACATCATGACCGTCCTGGGCTGCCTCTTCGGCATGGTGCTGGTGCTGGGTGCCGTCTACTACTGCCTGCGCAAGCGGCGGCGCCAGCAGGAGAAGCACAAGGCGGCGGCGGCCGCGGCGGCCGGCAGCCTGAAGAAGACCATCATAGAGCTCAAGTACGGGCCAGAGATGGAGGCGCCCGGCCTGGCCTCGCTGCCCCAGGGCCCGCTGCTGGGCCCTGAGGCCGTGACCCGCCTCCCGTTCATGCCGGCGGTGGGTGGTGAGGCGCAGCCGTACAAGCTGGCGGAGAGTGACACGCCCAAGGGCGGCAAGGGTGCCTACCTGGAGGTCCGCACCGGGGAGCCGGCCGAGCGCCGGGACTGCGAGCTGGGCCGCCCAGGCCCTGACAGCCAGAGCTCCGTGGCCGAGATCTCCACCATCGCCAAGGAGGTGGACAAGGTGAACCAGATCATCAACAACTGCATCGACGCCCTCAAGTCCGAGGCGGCTGCCTTCCCAGGCGCCAAGGCTGGGGCCACAGCTGCCGCGGAGCCCCCGCTGGTGCTGCTCTCTGAGCCGCTGGCCGGCAAGCAGGGCTTCCTGTCGCCTGCCTACAAGGACGCCTTCGGCCGCAGCCTGCAGCGCCACCACAGTGTGGAGGCGGCCCCTGGGCCCCCGCGCCCCAGCACCTCCTCCAGCAGCTCCACACGCAGCCCCAGGGCCTTTTGCGCCGAGACCCCTGGGGCACACAAGGCCACTGCAGCCGAGGCCAAGTACATCGAGAAGAGCTCACCCGCTGCCGACGCCATCCTCACTGTGACGCCTGCGGCCACCGTGCTGCGGGCCGAGGCCGAGAAGGGCCGCCAGTACGGCGAGCACCGGCACTCGTACCCCGGCTCCCACCCTGCCGAGACGCCCTCACCACCCGCGCCCCTGCCCCATGAGGGCCTGGGTGGCCGCAAGGCGTCCATCCTGGAGCCGCTGACCCGGCCACGGCCCCGCGACCTGGCCTTCTCGCCGCTGTCCCCGCAGTACCGCCACCTGAGCTACACCTCCAGCCCCGAGTACACCTGCAGGGCCTCCCTCAGCATCTGGGAGCGCCTCCGCCTGAGCCGCCGGCGGCACAAGGACGACGAGGAGTTCGTGGCGGCCGGCCACGCGCTGCGCAAGAAGGTCCAGTTCGCCAAGGACGAGGACCTGCACGACATCCTGGACTACTGGAAGGGCGCGTCAGCCCAGCACAAGTCCTGAGCCCCGGCCGCGCTGCGCCCGGCACCCGGGACGCCCACTGGACCAAAAAGGACACGAGACCCACCGCAGGTCTCCGTGACCCAGAGACTCTCGAGCACCGCACACACGGACTCTCTCACACACACAGACATGTAGACACACACAGACACACACGGAGACACAACACAGACACATGGAGACAGACACACACACACAGACTCACACACGAGCAGGCAGGTGAGGCACGGCCCACGGACAGAGCGGGGAGGGGGCGCCCATGGTGACAACAGCAGGTGGGCCTCCCAGGGAACCTGTCCTGCGTGAGCTGTCCCACAGGAGGGCACACACTGTGCAGACACCACACACACACCACGTGAGCACACATGCAAACACACACACACACACACACACAAGGGACTTCGGAAAACTGTGTCTTAGGGATGGGGGTGGGGGAGGGGAACTTTCTTTTTCAATATCTTTCCTGTTTTGACTCTTCTCTGCCTTCTTTTCCTCTCTCTCTCCTTCCTTTTTAAAAATGACGTAATAAAAGTCAAGTTCTCGTGAAAAGACAAGACAGCAGTTGCGGGGAGTGAGGCCCCAGCCCCCGTGGGGTCTCCATCGCTGTCTTCTGTGGACTGTGCTCCATGGTCTGTGCAGTTGTCTCTCTGCTGCCACCAGCGGAGGCCACCAAGGAGCAGAGTGACAGCTGGCGGCCGAATGGCCTCTGGACGTGCTGGGGCCTCGGGGTGGGGGGTGCCTGTGGACGGGGGTGGGGGCGGTCGGCAGGGGCGCAGGCCGGTGTGCTCTGCCCCGCCTATGCTGTGCGCTGTCGTCCTGATGTACAGAAGAAATATCTCTATATTTGCAATGTTTGCTGTAAAACAAGAAAGAAAAAAGACTATGTCTACTAAAAAAAATTCTGCAAAGGAAAACACCACAGGCTGTGTGTACGGAGTTTTCACTATGGGGTTCAGGGGAAGAGTCGGGGTCTCCCTGCTGTCTGGCTGACGGGTGGCTGTACTGATGGGAGCCCGGGGTGGGGCTCTGGTTAGGGGACCACCATGGAGACCTCGTCTGGAGAGGACGGGAGTGAGCCCGAGGGTGCTGAGAGCCTGTGGGAGAAGCAGGAGGACCCAGGGTCGGCCTGCGGCCATGGGTGGGTCTGTGGTCAGGTGGGTGCAGGCCACAGCTGAGGGTGTACGTGGGCGTGTGGTGGCTGGGGAGGCGGGTGGTGATGGGACAGGCTATGAGTGGGTGGGTGGGTGGGTGTGAGATGCTGGTGCGGGCCCTGCCCGGGGGCAGCCCCTGTGGTGGCTGGAGCCCTACCCCCGGGAAGGCGCCCTGAAGGCCCCCACCCACAGTCCTCTGGGTGCTGGGGCCCTGAGCCAAGCCCCCCTGTGGACCCCACCTGGCCAGCAGGTGGAGGGGCCCCTCTTGGAGCACCCAGAGCCTCTGGAGATGAAGGTCCCCACACCAGCCCAAAGTCCCCTCGGTGGCTCCTGCACTTTGAGTTGCTGAAGCCACAGGGTCCCCTCGTCCTGCCTGGGAGTCAGAGCCAGGCCGTGAGGAGTGCAAGTCCCCCAGGGCCACTGTCTGCTGGGGCCTGCCTCCCACGTCCACGTCGCCCTCTGGAGCTGCCCACCTGCCAACCGCCCTCTCTGCTGGGCAGGTGACACCCCCCACCCAGGCAAACCCCGCCCCATTTAAGTTTCCCGTGAAGAACAGTGAAGCCTGAGTGATCGGGGCAGGGGCTCCGAGGCCACAGGAGCCCGAGACCCTGGAACGGGGGCGGTAGCGGGCTCTCGGACACAGGGCCACTGCTGCTGGCCCAGCAGGGGCAGGAGGGGCAGGGTGGAAGTGGCCCAGACCAGCAGCCTGCCTTGCACACCCCCGGTGACGGGGTGCTCAGCATGCCCCTCAGCAGCTGTTCCCAGCGTTTGCACCTCCCTGAGGCTGAGGAGACCATGGTTCCCCAGGGCCTGGCGGCCATGCGGCTCCGAACAGGGGCTGTCCTCCTTCTGGGCGGCCTGCTCAGGTGACTGCTTCAAGGTCCTGTGCAGGAGGCCTTCGTATGGGCGCACAACCTGGGGGTTCTCACCGGGCCCCCCTCGACGGGGCCCCCGCAAACAGGTCCTACCTGTGGACACCACATGCCCTGCCCATCCCTGTCTGACCGGATAGGCCCCCAGCATCCCCAAGTCCATGCCGCCCTCCACCGCCACCTCCACCCTGGGGTCCCAGAAGGCAGTGTGGGGGCGGAAGACAAGTCCATGAGCAGGACAGCGGGGGCAGGGAGAGGAGGCAGGGCCCTGGCTGCTGGGTCTGCCGGGTGGGGCCAGAGAGGGTCGGCCTCACCCGAAGCCACAGTCTGTGGCCTCAGTCCTGACCAGGCCACCCCGTCCGCTGCTCCCTGCTGCCGGGAAGACAGAGATGGCTATTTGTAGGGGCCCAGGGAGGCAGACTGGCCAGGTATGTGAGGCACATGTCACCACCGGGAGCATAGCCATCGAGCAGGGGTTTGTGGGGACAGGCTGGGACCCGGAGAGGGACCTGGATAAAGGGAAGCAGGTGGGGTCCTGAGTGGCCAAGAACGCCCTTCCAGAAGCCCAGCCCTCCTTGGGCACTAACTGCCCAAGGCCAGGCCAGTCCTGGGGCACAAATGCATATGAGGGGGGCCCCCCAAAACCAGACTTCTTTTCTGGAGGGTGAGACCCCTTGTAGTACAGGCTTCCCCACTAGGTGAGTGTTCTCGGAACCCATCTGTATCAGTGCACCAGCTGGCGTTGTTGTGAGAGGCTGCATTCAGCTTCAGTGCGGTTTTAGTTTTTAAAGACTCAGCCTGTTTGCCCACTGCCTGATGGGTGAGTGCACCTGCCCACACTGCACCGAGTGTTCAGCAGCTTTCCACCAGACACGACATGACCCCCACGCCCCACCCTCCCTCTTCCCCTGGTCTCGCCCTGAGCGACTTTTTTTGTTTCCCTGGATGGGAAAACTCCGAGGGAAATGTTTTGCTGATGTGGAAGAGGTGAAACAAAAAACAGCAGAAATGCTAAAAGGCAAGAAAATCAATGAGATCAAACACTGTTTTGAGCAGTGGAAAAAACACTTCGACAAGTACACTGCATCCGATGCAGAGGACTTTGAAGGTGACTGAAGTTTAAACATGTAAGAACAAGTACACAATTTTTTAGAAATAAACTCCAGGGTTTTTTGGGTCCCCCTTGTGGGTGCATGTCCTTGCCTGAAGGAAGTCACCGTGGAGCTGACGAGACACACACACGCGGGAGAAGATCACACACTTGCTAGACACCTGCCAGGGGCAAGGCCCAGAGAGGGGCCGCCCTGCGCCAGCCCCCGGGCGCTGGGCGCAGAGGCAGGTGCCCTGCTCCGGGGTGGGGGTGGGGTGCGCAGGAGGCCCGGGGCCCGGTGGGAACTGCCCAGGAGCAGTGGCGCGTGTCTGCAAAGGGGAGGCTGCAGTGGGGGGAACTGTGAAGGTGGGGTGTCGGCACCCTCACGGGCTGAGAGCCCTGAGCTGTGAGTGCAGGATGAACGGTGCCGACCAGAGTGGGCGCGGCCCCGTGGCTGCTGCTCCATCCGCAGCGTGGACGCATGCCAGGCTCCGCCACTGACGACTGCGTGGCCATCGGGAGTCACTGGCCTCTGTCCTGCCTCCAGCACAGCGGCCCACAGTGCTTAAGCATCAGTGCTTGCTGGCTGCGTGTCGACCCACCCCACACTCATCACTGCCCACGGGCCTGCTGCCCGCACCACTCGGGTGGCTGGTGGGGACAGGGGTGCTGAAAGGGCTGAGCTCCGCCCCTGCAGTCCCCTGTCCCCCGGCCACCCACCCGGCGATGGCTGCAAGCAGGCCCTGTGGTCACGTCCCCTGACATTCCACCCCCAGAGTGGCTCACTCAATGGGGGATGGGCACCCCACCCACAGGGGCAAAGGGCGTGAACACGGGAGGTGATGAGTCAGGCCATCTGACACCCGGGCCCAGTGCAGGCCACACCCACCAGCTTCCACCAAGGGACCACGGGGTGCGGACCATCGAAACCCCGACAGGGGTCCCTGAGGTCGCACCCCCTGCCACCCATCCGTCCTGCTTCTGTCGGTCCATCACTCCACAGCCTGTTTGTCCACCCTCTGCCCACACATCTGTCCATCCCTCCATCCCACACAAAACCACAGAGTTCCTGCTTTGTACCAGACATGCCAGAGACGCCAACCGAACCTGCCCCCGCTGGAAGGGCCCGTCAGTCATAGTCCAACAGGGAAGGAAGGGGAGGGCTCTCCGAAGGGACCATTTCCTGCCAGAAGGTGTGGGGAGCACGCAGGGCCCAGGGCCACCTGAGGGGGCCGCCGTGGAGGACAGCCAGCTCAGGTGACACCACCCCCCCTTCCCTCCACCTCGGGGGGCACCCCCTGTGCTGAATGGCCAGAAACCCACGAGGCAGAAGCCCATTCTCAGGGGACCCTGGAGAGACGGGGGGTCAGGGGGATGGGGACGAAGGAGGGATGGCGTGCAGGGAGGAGGAGTGGGGGACGCAGAGGGGGCCGTCGACTCCCTTTTGGAGTCAGACCTCAGGGAGGGCAGCCCTTCAACTGGGAGGGACAAAGGGGAGTTGACATGGTAAAAATGGGAGGTGGGGGTCTCCCACGAGGGGACGCAGGGACAAGACCCCCCCCAGCCCCAGCCCAGGGTCACGTGGTCGGCCTCGCAGCGGAAATAAATCAGAGTGGTGCCGTGGGCAGTGGGGGGCATGGATGGCGCTTCATAAAATAATAACTTGTATTGATTTTTCCTATCTCAAAAGCAACCCTTTTATGAAACACACTTTAGAAAACAGCTCAGTCTGAAAAAGAAACTGGGGATCACTCTCAGTGAGCACAGCTCGCACGCGGGTGTCCGCCCTCCGGGGGCGGGGTGGGGGGAGGTGGCTGGTTTATCTGGCGTGTGCAAAAGCACACGGAGAGTCGGGGAAAAGAGGGAGCAGAGGATTATGTTCCCCCCAAAAGGAAGAAGATAAAACCTCAGAAAAGGAGCTTAATGAAATGGAGAAAAGTGATTTCCCTAAGAAAGAGTTCCAAATAACGTCACACAGATGTTCGTCCAGCTTAGGAGGGGCGTGAGTGACAGGAGAACTCTGTCCCCTGTCCACGTGGAAAACACGAGAAGACAGCCACCCGGAAGACTGAGCTGAGAGCAGTGACTGAGCCTCGAAGTGCGGGAGCGGACCCAGCGGCAGAGGGGACAAGGCAAAGGAAAACCACCGGGCGGCAGAGCCACCACGAGGAGCCTGGGAGAGGCAGAGAAGGGAGCGCCCGCCGGCCCTCCGCTGCCTCGGGGCCCGGAGGGAGAAGAGGGAGGGAGGGAGAGAGAGAGAGAGAAGGAGGGAGAGAGGCGAAATCTCAATTGAAGAAATAAAGGCTGAAAACTTCCAAATCTGGGGAAGAAAACAGGCCTCCGGGAATTCCGGCGAGTTCCAAATTAGAGGAACACAAAGCGACTCACATCAAAACATTGTGATTAAAATGTCAAAAGTTAAAGACAAGAAGAGAATGTCAGAACAGTCTGTCACACACACACACACACACACACACACACACACACACACACGGACTCTCATAAGACTGTGAGCAGCTTCTTTGGGGCAGCAGCCTCGCACGCAGGCCAGGAGGGAGCGGTGAGACATATTCAAAGTATCAAAAGAAAGAAACATCCCAGTCA